CTTGAAGTATTTTGTATAATATTAATAAATCATCTTAGTCATGTCATTAACATAAATATATTATCATTGTTAACTAGACCAAAAGGTCCTTTATAACAGAGGAAGATAATAGTAAAACTACATTGTCGAACAGAATATGTATTGATTAAGTGGAATTCATTAAATTTGCAATATATGTCGTATGACATAGATTTGCTGTGTGTAATCTTGTGGAAGATTGATCCTCGAAACCTTTTGTATTTATATGAGATTTTATTTTATAGCAGAAGATTATTAATATATCATTACAAGACACGGAAAATAGGATAATAATGTACCGTTTTCTAATTAGACATCTTAATTAAAAGGACATAAAAAGAAAATTATATACTTTGATTTTGGAGACACAGAATTAATACTAATATGAAGTGTTTAAGTCATCAATAATACTCAATCAAATATAGTAGTAATATATGTGCAATGGAAGAAGAAATACACATAACCATTTAAAACATGTACGTAAATGTTAAAACAAGTTTATCACGCACAATTTCGAAAAATATTTTTTTAGGTACTTTTGTTTTTGTTTATAATTTATTGATTGTTAGGTCTTGCAGATTATCATTCCCAATGTCAAATTAATCTTAAGAAAATTTAACAGTCTTCATTAGTTTTAGTTAGTACAAATATTTAAGTACAGACTCAAATAATGGATATGATGACAGCAATGTTCTTCATGTTTTATATAAGGGTTCATGGTAATAAAGCCTACACGATATTGCTGATCGCCTTCTCCAGTTCCTTTTCTTCGTCCAAATATACGATGTTGAATAGCGTATGTCTAGCTGTGCATCATTCAACATTCTGATTGTTAAAAATAGTATGTCGAGCTGAACAATATTCAAATTCTCAATATTCAATGTCAGTCAGGTAGGATAGACTTTCTTTTAACATCTGTCGGGAAACCCTACATTAACCCTAGTCAGCGGTCAAATTATAAATGATTTTTTATCCATTAATTTTAATACGCATTGCGAAAGGTAATAGACATCCATTCAAAACCCATCTTAAGTTATTTCTGAAAACTTAAATTAAATTAAAACATTCTAGACTCTTGTTGTATCCTCGTGAAACGCACACAGAGAATTACTAATAGTCTGGATTAACATCGGATAACGAAAATGTTAAAAGGGGAGCAACTCTAATGTAAATAATGAGGATTTTGAAGCATTTATCATCACACATCTTAGATTATTGTAAAAGACCAATTAAATTCTAATAAAAATTTCTTTCAAATTAGCAAGAACATTCGTAATGATAGCGCTCGTCGCCAAGGCAACGTCTTGAGGAAAAAAGAATCACGCAGACCAAACATTTGAAAAAGTCACCCAACCAATCAAACGGTCAAAAGCAAAGTCACATGACAACAATATTACAATTCGAAAATCGTCAATAAACTAGAGATCTATTCATGTCACCAATGACAGACAATCATAGAAATCATTGTAGATATTGTAATAAGAAGAATCCGGTCACATAGAACACCGTGTACCATCTCCATGGTGACTTAAATGTAAATAACACATTACCCAAAATATCTATGAAGTAGAGGTGGGTTGGAAACGTAGAAATCAATATTATCTTTTTCATTCATCAAACACTCATACTATATAATACTAAGTTTTCAAAAAGGATTACAAATATTTGTCTTTTATCCAAAATCCCATTCACATTTCACGACATAATTGAGAAGGCACTAGTATTCTTTACTCTTTACATGTACTGCTGTCAGTGGTTGTCCAAGAACAGGCGAGGCTACAGATTCGGACAGATGACTTTGTTTCCAGGATTACATGTACCTCCAAGAACATCAATTTGTCACTCATTATCGAACACCAATGTCTATGGTTCACCTGAATGTCTTTCAGGTTTTCGCAATGGCCCTGATGCAGGTTCATAAACCTTCATGTACAATCTTCCAATGCCTACAGTCTCAAACAAGTTACCTGATGCCCGTTGATGTCTGTGATGCCCTCCCGTCCAAACTTACTATTTGATATATACCCCTCATGCGACTATAGACCTTTATAGCAGAACGCGTGTTTGCAGTATAATTTTTCCAGTACTGTTGTAGACTAGAGAAGATAAAATATTTTATTCTTCCTCTTGTCCATTGAAGGAGAGCAGTATTTGAACAGGTTCAATTAAAGTAAATCAATTAAACACACATATATATATAGATACTCTTTATGTTTTTATTCTATACTGTTAATATAAAATATATATGAAAATCTGTATCAACATGGTAACGAAAATATATGTACAAAGGATAAAATATAATGTATTAAGATCAACATATTAAGTGATGACTTCAGTCTTAAAATTTAAATCCATTAAGTAAACATATGTATTAGTACAAAAAAAAACGTATATTATCTTGTTTTAAAATCAATCATTCCTATTGGTAAATTTTACCAGCCTAGTATGTTTCATTGATTTCTATTGGCTCGTACAACATATAAACCATCTATCTTTGATGATGTATTGAAAGCAGATTGGAATTAATCAATAAACAGTTAACAAAATATATGTATTCATGATGTGTAATAATAATAGCGAAATGACGAATTCCAGGAAAAACCTGATATCTAACTCCTGAATCTATACATGCAAATTGGATATCATAAAATATAGTTTAAGATGAGAAATTGTTTCTATACTACAATGCAGAAACTGTGTAAGTGCATAATTGATATCTTACTTAAAACATTTATGGTGTGTTGTGAATGGAGATGGAAAATACACAGTTAAACAACAGTAAAGTATGCGACAGACACTATATCATTTGACATCTAAGATCACAAAACCAAACAGGGATCAGTCACATTTTTCTATAATGATTTTTCGCTATACCTGAATTAATTGAAAATAGTCATCAAATGCTACAACCACTGACGCCAGAGTCAGCCACTGACGCAAGGTCCACCACTGACGCAAGGTCCACCACTGACGCCAGGGTCTGCCACTGACGCAAGGTCCACCACTGACGCAAGGTCCACCACTGACGCCAGGGTCTGCCACTGACGCAAGATCCACCACTGACGCAAGGTCCACCACTGACGCCAGGGTCTGCCACTGACGCCAGGATCTGCCACTGACGCAAGGTCCGCACTGACGGACGCTTTTATAGTATCAACTCACTGAAATGTCATAGTCTGGACATATTGTATGACATCCGACCCAGCCAAACAATAATGACAATTCAGTAACACAGTGATCAATGATCTACAATTAATGTAATGAAGCAATCAGATCTGACTTTTATGACCTTGATCACTCGACAAAGACACTGTGGTGACATAGTATACTTATTTTTAATGACCGCCCAAGTCCATAACACATCGATTAATAATAATATGACATGAAATTGTCTTTTTACGTCGAATGTGTGTCTAGTTCATTTCAAAGTTCTTGGAAAATATGTTGTCATAAATTTCAAGGGTTAAAAGTTTTTTAAAAAGGCATTTGATGTTATTTTGAGACTCCTAATTTAAAGTTACCTTTCCCTTCCTAGTCTCAAACCCCTCCCCTCAGTCATTAAGATGATCTTGAGATTTCAACTATCGCTAAATATCGCTATCAAGGCATATTGAGCAGATCATCTCCCAGGTTATAGTTAATATTTTTAAAAAGTCTCATTTTTGCGTTGTGGACACTATACAGGGAAACATGCTATCTACAGATGTACACGATAATATTTAATATTTTTCAGCGGAAACACTTTTACGTTCTTCAACAATGTGCATATTTGTAAATAAATCACTATAATAAAAATGAAAAAAATACCAAAAACAAATGTTAATAAGACCCTAAACCAAACTCCGAATAATGTCACGTTCTAAAAAGAGAGCCAGGTTTACAACACCGAACCCTCCAGGTAAACGTCAAAGTTATTTCATCTAAATACACAGTACTAAGTAATTAAGCTAATGAAAACTTTATCTTAAATCTGTCCATAAAGATATGTTCTCAGAGATACATATTACAAGATTCTTAAACGGTAAATTATGATTTTCCTGGTTATGTAAAATGGCCCACAATCTCTGTTCTATTCTGATGTTTTATAGGTACGATGACATAGCAAGGTTTCTGTGTAGTAATTTACCGGTCGTCTTTACTGATGTTTGGTCATCTTAGTGATGTAAATGTGCTATCCAATGTGTTCAATATTGAAATAACACATTTCTAAACTGTCCCCAAACCATTTTCAGTCTGATATACAATAACTGCTAATCATTAATTAGAACTCCTGCTGTTGAAGCGAAACTGTTTTGTTTCAATTGGTTTGGTATTACAAAGTGGCGTTCTTTACACAGAGCAGCATTATAAAAATCAATTGTTGCAATAAATTATTGCAATGTACATCAGAATAAATAATTGACACTAAATGATTTAACAAAAGTAATTGTATGTATCCCAGTGGGGAAATGGAGACAATAATGTATACTTATCTGTTATGTATTGTCTGTACGTGTTTAATGATTCACTTGTGTTGCCATCCAGAAGTTGCTGGGAGAAGACTTAAATAGGCAATGCCTGATGCCCTATCTCTTTGATCTTTTTGAGCAATAAAATTTGTTGAAATTGAAATAAGTGATGTAATATTCGAGAGTTATTATTTAGTGTTCTATTTTCGACAGTGGAATTGAACCGCGAAAGCAGATGATTGGGAATTTAATTTCGTCCAAATATATCTCCATTGTGTCAAGCTGTAGGCGAAAATCTTTTGAACCATCGGAGAAAAAAAAGGAATTTTATATTCATAGAGTGTTTCTGTAAGGCATTAAAATCTAAATTGAGTTTATTACAGAACATGAAAAACCTTTCTGGTATTCCCGTCAAAATTGTTCAGAAATTTGAAGGGAGCAAATGGTTCCATCATGTCGTGCATTTAGACACATTTTCGAAGTGGAATGTATGCTCATATCATGAAACACTTGGCAAACTTGTTTGCGCTTAGCTTAACAAAGGTACTTCCTCACCACGAAGATTATTCCAACGACTAATATGATTCCAACAATGGCAATAGCAATACCGACACCTATTCCTTCCCCAAATCCCAGTTCTGAAATAGATGGATCCATCATTAAGAACTGGCATTGCATGTAAACAAGTTTAGAAGCAAGACATAAATAAATCGATATAATCCTAAGAAAACTAAAAGGTCAACAAAGAAAAAAACTACGTTCCATATCAAATAATCAAAATATTTCAAAATACATACCCTTCTCGACAACCGTTTCTTCTTCCGCATTGAAATCGCCGCATACTGGAAAGTTATTAGGGATTTTTGGGTACATATTGGGAGATTCAATTATCACCATCCCCATACCGTTTGTATTGTGAAGGTCGATGTGACAGTGGAAGAACCAGGCACCTGGGTTGTCTGCCTTGAATCTGATGACGACGTAGCCGTGAGTAGGGACGATGACAGTATCTTTCTGTGCAGTATTTTCCAGCACTAGACCTGGAATATTACCACCATTCCAACTGGAATTTGCCCATACAGGGTTATTACAGTAACCTTTAGATCCTCGTGCACATGATATGTCAGGGGTTGAATCGACCAGGACGCCATTCGAATCGTACTGTCCGAACCCTATTTTCATTACGTAAAATGAATGTCCATGTAGATGTACCGGATGTGACCAACCTTTCCCGTTCCCGAGGTCAGTCAATATAAACTGGTACACTTTTCCATATTCTATCTCCTTTGTGTATGTACATCTACAAGTCGTGTCTTCGCAATCTTGATCACATGCAGTTATGCCATCATCTGGCTGTGAGTAAATAGGACCAACTGGAGGTACAAATTGGCGACCATTCACGGATCCTTCCATAAATCCACTTGGTCCCGGAAAAGCAAAATTAAAGAAGAACTCTTCATCTATATTCCTAACATCTTGTGGCCGAGAGTTGAAATCGTCTGTTCTAGCGTCATTATACGTCAAACAAATTTCACTTTCCCCTGCAGGTTGAAGATATGGGCAATTAAAAATAACACATTCGTTAGTCGAGGTACACTGTGGTTTGGTTCCCTTGGGCTGGTTTGGGTTCCTGGCGGTACCAATGTAATGAATTATGGCTTCCGCTACGTGGTATTCGCCTCTTTTTGCTATTTCACTTTCTACTTCTAGCGTCTGTGCAACCAGCAAGTAGTTAGCCATAGGCTGGTCTGTAAATAATACAAAGTCATATCTTTCTCCTGGATTGATGATGAATGACTCCACAACCATGGGTTTCAACGCAAATCCGTCGGAAGCAACAACAGTTATTTTGGGATGTCCTTCAACGTATACACGAAAAGGATATAGTGTAGCTGCACTGATCACTCTAAATGTGTAGTTTCTGTTTTGGGCCACGTCATATTCTGTCAGTGGCGCTCCGTTATGGGTTGTTGGGGTCTTGTAGTAACGACCTTTCCCATTTATCAGACCGGAATGGTATCTATATCTACTGTACATACCACCATCCACCGAGTACGTTGTGTTGTATGGTACTTTGTTCTCTTGATCATATATGCCATACAACATCCGCTGGTATAACGTGGATGCATCATCGTCGTGATTCCAGTCCTGCAACATGACAACATGTTCCTGTCTTGTTTCTGATGGAAGTTCTTTTTTTGGTTTAACGATGAGTGGTCCATACAAACCCATCGTTCTCTGATCACCTATGTGAGCATGGTAGAAGCTCGTGCCGTGTGGCTTTGCTGTGAATTTGTAGGTAAACTCCTGGCCATGTCCTAGCGGACACTGAGATACCATGGCAACGCCATCCGCATACGTTGATCCCTGTTGGTGCATACCATGCCAATGTACCGTAGTGCTATCTGTGTCCATCAAGTTTCGAACGTGGACAATCAAAGTTTGGTCTTCATACGCCTCGATCTTGGGACCAGGGAATCGCCGATTTATTGCAATAACTAATCGAGAGTTGTTACCATCAGCAGTCAAGATATACGGTATTTGGTCTGCCTTGATAATGGGACTCCCCGGTTTGTCATACTCGTAAAGCTGGCCTCCATTGGGAACCACCAGAGTCATCTCTTCTTCTATCATCATAGTAAGACGATGCTCAATCGTTAGGTAACATTCACAGACATCGTGATTTCTTCCACAAGTGTTATCACGGCATGGGTTTTCTCTTGTTAGAACCTGATCCCACGTACTACCACTGTTCTGTCCTACAGTCAATGTCGGCGCAAGAAAACATACTATGAAGACAACAGCAGCTACCTCCATCTGCAACAAAACAAAACCATGACTTCTCCCATGTACAAGCTTTACTGTCGACGAACGTACACTTTGTCATCTACATGTTTACATTTATCTCTTGCTGCTATATTTCAACACTTTAGGACCCTTAGCGGAAGAGACGAGTCCTAGAGGTGAACAACATATGTGTGATTCATGTTTAATCATTATTTGACTGTACCGTACCAAAAATAAGATGGAAAATAAAGACAAATTAACAGAATGTGAATTCAATCTCAAACTTAAACTATTGCTAAACATAATTGAACGGAGACTCCAGAAAACGTTTAAGGAGAATTGTACAAGAATGGTAAACGGCATCGTGTATCGACCACACCCACAATGTGACATGTTTTGAAAGTAATTCATGTGTTATTTACTATATGCGTGTCTGGATACATAATCTTTTATACAAAAAGGTTTTGTGATTGACAATACTAGTATTCATAGACATTAGATATTGTTCAGAAGTGAGGATGTTGCGATAATAAATAGTGTTCATAAGCAGTTCATTAGCTTGTAAATAAACAGTTAAGGAAGGTAGATGATTTAGATATGCCGCAATATATGTAAGATCTACGAGATATTTATACATAAAACATTTCGGTGAATTTTCCAATGAAGTCATAATTAATTGCTTTGCCTGATCTAATATTCTTTGATCAATCTGCAATAAGATTGAATTTGTTCGAGTGACACTATTAGGATTTATCCATGTCTCACTAAAGCCGACATTATCTAATTCTTCCTTAACAGAGTTGACCCAACTGAAAAATTTTCTGTTACACAGTTTTCACAAAAAATTGTATGATTTGGATACAATACAGTTATGAGAAAGTCTAATTTTAAACCAGTATTTTTTTCTATATTTTTTTTTCAAAACTTCCGAAGGAAACCGTCCCAATTAAGAATAAACGATACTGCTACACGCTGACTTCTTCACTTTTAACATCTTTAACAAAAATCCAGATGCACATGTTCCTAATCAGGCCCTTTACACGAACCCCAATGATTCGCGTGCATAATAAAGGATACTACCCACATAAGTATCAAATAAATTTAGCATGGTTTTTATATTAAGGCTTAAACAAGAGCACTTGGAAAGTAAACCAAACAAAGCTTTATGTCCTTGGACAGCCAGTTGCTTCTAGATACAAATTAATATTTATAGAATTGTTAGTAAAATACCTTAATATGATCAACACCAGAAATCATACAACTCTTGTAATACTGTTCCTCTTTACCATGTAATATTCCCCCTTTATGGAAAAATAATAATGTTAGTTTTATCTAGGTTTACAGACAGATTCCATTCATTACAATAGACATCTAGATTATCAAGCAAGACGACCTTCCGCAGATTCAGAAAATAAAACAAGGTCATCAGCATACAACAGTAGCTATAAGCTTAATTTTGTATCAGTTACAGATTAGACAAGCTGTATATAGTTTCCCTAGACACATATTTATACAATGTAACTTATAGTTATTATCAATGTATATCTATAACTAATACAGATGTATTGAATCGACCATCCTGTATTGTGTAGGTGACCTCGTTTAGCACATATATATGTGCCTGAGTGAAATAAAGGTATTTGATAACTTGAAATGACATAATAATGAATGACTTATTATAAATATACTACTAAGAGGTGTTACATGTAGTAATTTCTTGCTTTCATTATTGCTACAGTGTTTCAATTATTTAAGTAAAACACGAATTATCAAACGATACATTTTCCTTCCCAATGAAACATGATAAAACAGAGACATTTAGGCTTCAAATTTAACATGATAAACAGGCATTTTCCCCAGGGACATATTACGGAGGGTAGTAGATGTTTTTCTGGTATTAGGTTGTTGTTGAGCCGTGAAAATCGTCAATTAGCTGTTTACCTGTGCCCCGTTCAAAAGATATGCCGTCTTTGCATTCAACGGTCTGACAAGAGCCAATTTGGCGAACAGTGAAGAGGGAATATCATCTTCGTTACAGAAATAATATCAATGAATTGAAATGTCAAATCATAAAAATAGCATTGGTCTAACGGAAAATTGATGACATTATAGTGCCATAGTTTTATGAATTATTTTCTACGATATGGGATGATATGTCAGTTGTGAAAAGCTCAAACTCGCGTTTTGCTTTTAAAAGAATCTAAGTAAACAGAAAATATTTGTCACAAAAGTAAGCGAGATTAGTTTTAAGGTTGAGATTTCTACTATACCGTTTGTTTTTAAAAGATTTGTTTGGAGTTTTTTTTTAAGAAAAATGGAATATAAAGACAGCAACGCTTATTAACTATAATTGATACAGTATTTCGGATCAAAATATTCCATAATACAATCATTGTACAGATGATATCAATTTATACGTTATAATTAGTACGTTTCTAGATAATCATTATAATCAGATATCAAATTAGATACAGACATGCATTGTCTAGCATTTGAAATACCTAGGAAAAGTATGAATACGTTTCTGATTTTAACCTGACATAGTTGACTTTCAAGACTTGGTTAAAAAAATTGATTATGTTGTCGGGCTAGTATCGCATTGAGTTCATTGTATATCATTATATTGGCACGTCCTTTGAAATAACTGACCATATGCACTCATATGATAAAATCTGATTTTTTACTCAACAGATATTGTTGAACTAAATATTAAAAAAAATTATTTTTATAATCATCATTGAAGGTGGTTATTTTTCGTTTTGTGTTTTTGAGATATTTATGCTATCACGGATTCATATTCGATGAAAGCCCGACATGTTATATATCGTAATATTACGGACTAGTAGGTGTGCAACCTCTATGTAAGTATTTATTTATCTAACGGATTTTACGTCCACTATTACGGCCTTTCGGCCGTTCAGCGGACGAGAAACTATGTAGCCTACAAATTTATAAAACCATGACAGCACGGGTCTCCGAGTCCAAATCTGATAAAGTCACTCATCCATGAACTGATCTCATTCTACCTGTGCACTCACGCGTCTACGACTCTACTATCGCTAAGGGGACATAACCCATGGTATCCCGTAAAAAATTAATATAGTTGCAAATGAACCCAATACTTTCAAAATTTCGCCATATTTCAGCTTTTTTAGTGAAATTTTTGCTACATAATTTGTTATATTAAAAATAAATACCTCTCGATAGATTGGTTTTAATAGTTGCATTGAATTTTAAGTGAAATTGTGTACCATGTATGCAAATTAGTGTATATCCACACAGCCGATGTTGTGTACCCCATATAGCAAATACACAGACAGATGGATGGTGGGCGTTTCTCACTCCCAAAAGGAATCATTCAGCCAAATAATATCGCACCTTACAACAGTTTCGCCCTTATTACTCCCATCCGTAATATTTAAAGGCTAGATGTGTATTGACTCTTGTGATGTGTGGAATCATAATAGGACATAGCGAGTCAGACGATGAGGAACTAACCCATGAAAGAGAAGGTTATAGTTCACACCTGTACAGGGATTCTCAGTTCAGGATTAACTGGCACGTCCTTCGAAATAACTGACCATATGCACTCATATAATGGAATATGATGTTTTTATTCAACATATATTATTTAATTAAATTGTAACAGTATGATTTTTATAACAATAATTGAATGTAGTTAATTTTTGTTTGTGATTTTGAACTTGGATATTTATGCTATCTCGGATCTAAATTCAAAATGAGTCCGACTTGTACCGTATTATAACGCACTAACAGATGTGTAACATATATGTAGGCTACAACTGATACCTATATAACCATGAAACCACGGATCTACCGCGTTAAACGGTACTAACTAAGTTCGCATTGGTACAGAGCGTGATTTGTTAAAATCACTCATCCATGACTGGCCCTATTCTACATGTGGGCTCTCGTTCCTATGACGTAACCCATGGTATCCCGTAGAAATAGATGCATATGAGTGATCTCTACTCTCTATCCATTTATAGCAATATACATTCATAAGAAATCTCTTCTTTCTATCTATGTATATCTCTGTACAATGGTAAGTAATCTCTACTGTCTGTTTATGTATAACAATGTACAATGGTAAGTAATCTCTACTCTCTGTTTATGTATAACAATGTACATATGTAATCTCTACTCTCTGTGTCTGTATAACAATGTACATATGTAAGTCTCTACTGTCTGTTTATGTATAACAATGTACAATGGTAAGTAATCTCTACTCTCTGTTTATGTATAACAATGTACATATGTAATCTCTACTCTCTGTTTATGTATAACAATGTACATATGTAATCTCTACTGTCTCTTTATGTATAACAATGTACATATGTAATCTCTACTGTCTCTTTATGTATAACAATGTACATATGTAATCTCTACTGTCTCTTTATGTATAACAATGTACATATGTAATCTCTACTGTCTGTTTATGTATATCAATGTACATATGTAATCTCTACTCTCTGTTTATGTATAACAATGTACAATGGTAAGTAATCTCTACTCTCTGTTTATGTATAACAATGTACAATATGTAATCTCTAGTACAATATGTATAACTACATATGTAATCTCTGTCTCTTTATGTATAACAATGTACATATGTAATCTCTACTGTCTGTTTATGTATAACAATGTACATATGTAATCTCTACTCTCTGTTTATGTATAACAATGTACATATGTAATCTCTACTCTCTGTGTATGTATAACAATGTACATATGTTATCTCTACTGTCTCTTTATGTATAACAATGTACAATGGTAAGTAATCTCTACTCTCTGTTTCTGTATAACAAACAATGATAATAATCAATGTATAACAATGTACAATGGTAAGTAATCTCTACTCTCTGTTTATGTATAACAATGTACAATGGTAAGTAATCTCTACTCTCTGTTTCTGTATAACAATGTACATATGTAATCTCTACTGTCTGTTTATGTATAACAATGTACATATGGTAAGTAATCTCTCACTCTCTGTTTATGTATAACAA